AAATCTCCCAAAACGAAAAGTCAGACTAGATGGTTCACTACTGAAATTTACCAACCTTTTAAAGAGACATTAATATAAATGTTTCCAAACTATTTCATAGAAGTGAAAAGATGGTACTTTGACAACTCTTCTGTGAGGCCAAGATTCCATGGTTTCATCTAGGAATGCAACAATGGTTCATGGATGTAATTGAATAACAACATAAAGAATGAAGATTATAAAAAATCACATGATCATTTCAATAGATCTAAAAAGAATCTATAAAATTAATGCTGGTTCATGATAAAGGCACTGAATAAGTTAGTTATAGAAGATAATACTCAAAACATAGTAAAAGGCTACATATGACTCCTATAGTCACATCACAGTAAATGGGAAAAATTGAAATAATACCTTAAATATAATGGTAAAAACAAGGGTGTCCACTATACTGCTCTTATTCAATCAACTTTACTATCAGCTTTGCCAGAACAACTGGTAAGAGAATAAATGGAATAGAATAAAGAAAAGAGAAGTTCAAATTAATCACTGTAGAAGATGATATAGTTCATACACAGTAAAACCTAAAGACTCCACTGAAAGACTATTAGAACTGACAAATGAATTCAGCATACAAATATTAGTAGTTTTACTGTATAGCAATAATAAATTTCTGGAAAATAATTAAGTAAGGAGGTGAAAGGCTTTAACAATGAAAATTATAAACAAGAAAGAAATTTAGGAAGACTAGTGTCTCCCTTTTAGTAAAGGTGAGAAAACTTCTATGTTCATGGATTGGAAGGATTAATATTGTTAAAATGTTCACAGTACCAAACAATCTACAGATTCAATTTGATCTATCAAAATGTAATGGCATTCTTCCAGAACTAGAAAAACAGTAAAATTAATAGGGAATCAAGAAAGACCCAGAATAGCAAAAGCAATATTGAGCAAAAGAGTAAAGCTGAATGCATTCACATACTGACTTCAAGACATTCTACAGAACCATGTAAAAAAACATTATGGTTTTGACATGAAACAGACACATAGACTAATGAAACCAAATAGAGGCCAGAAATAAACTATCCATTTGCAACCAACTGATTTCGGCAAAGAGGCTAGAAACAGAATTGTAGAAAGGACAGTCTCTTTAACAAATGATGCTGGGAAAAATTGATATCCATAAGCTGTTTGAAGTTTGAGGCTTGACTTCTATCTCTCACCTTGTACAAAAGTCACTCAAAAATCAAAGACCATAACTCTGAAGCTACTAAGGAAAGCATGAGTGAAACACTTCAAGGTATGGGCAACCATTTTCTGGGTTGGTCTGCAAAAGCACAGGAAACAAAAGCAAAAATTGACAAATGGGATTATATCAAACTAAAAGTTCTCAAAATAAGGACATATCAATGGAGTGAAGAGACTGCCTACAGAATGGAAGGAAACATTTTATAGCTATTCATCTAATAGAAAGTTATATCCAGAATATATAAAGAATTCTAAAAACTTGATACAAAGCAAAATAATCAATTAAAAATGAGCAAATGATCCAAATAGACTTCTCAAAAGAAGAAATCAAGTGGTTTAATAAATATATGAAAAATATTCAATATCATTAGCTATCAGGGAAATACAAATCAACTACAGTGAGATACCATCTCACTCCAACTAGAATGGCTATGATTAAAAAAATAATAACAATGTTGGCAAGGACATGGAGAAAAAGGAACTTTTTACACATTTGGTGAAATGTGAACTAGTAAGCCACTTGAAAAAATATGTAGGTTCCTTAAAAAAGAAACACTGTGGTCAGCTCTACTAACTATCGTACATATCAAAGGGATGAAATCAGCACTCAAAAGATGCTTATGCCCATGTTTCTTGCAGCACTATTCACAATAGACAAAGCATGGAACCAGCTTAGATGCCCATTAATAAATGAATAGACAAAAAATTGTGGCAGAATATACAAAGTGGAGTAATATCAGCCATAAAGAAGAATAAAATCCTGTCATTGTGGGAAAATGGAGGAAGGAGCACATAATGTTAATTCCAAATAAGCCAGACACAGAAACATAAGTATAATATCATGTGTTCACTCTCACATGTGCAACTGAAAGAAAAAAAATGACCTGAAAGTAAAAGAGGATCATGAAGGAATAGGAGCGGGTGGGTTAAGTGGACAGGGGAGGCAAGGATGAAAGACCAGGGAAGAATGGACATGAGCAGTGTACATATATGCATGCATGGAAATATCGCAGTGAACCTCAACTTGTGCAATTAAAATTTAACAGTTAACAATCAACTATTAATAACAATTAACACAAAATATATCGTACAAAAATTCTGCATGAAGGATTTATTTAGGTGATGAAACTATCTAAAACTGATTTTTGATGAGGTTGTACAACTTGGTAAAATTGCTAAAATATTTCAAAAGTATATCTCGAAATTTTAGAATTATATATGTTTAATATCTCTATTAAAATTGTTTAAAAATGTGCCTGTCCAATAAATACTGTAAAATTAACAAAATTAACAAACTATTAGTTAGACATACTAACTGATACTCCCTCAATCAAAAAAAAAAGGAAAGGACATACTCAAATTACCAAAATCCAAAATGGAAGAGAAAGCATCACCAATACTATACATAATTCCTATACCAAAAATTAGACATCTTAGAAGTTCAAATAAAATATTCAGGGAACTAGAACATGGGTTCACAAACTCAAATGATTCAGAATAAAGCTGTTTTTACTGTACTTGCAATTTCAGTAAGTACAACACTATTTCAAGAAGAAAGACAAGAAAAAGAATGACACCATGTCAGGCTACTATTCACTGAGAGGCTTATTATTGTTAACCAAAAAAAAGAATATTAAAATTCAAACAACAATGGTTTGCCTCTAATCAGAGACAAAATCATTAAAGTGCAAATCTTTTAACATGCACACAAACACATGAAAGTCTGGATTTGTGATTTCAGATATGTAGTAATAGCTTCAGAGCCATTTAAATTTGTGTGGCTGTGTAGTAAATGGCTGAAACGAATTGGAGGTCACAGGAAATAAGATGTCAAAGAACATTTCTAAGCACAGGCATTAGAGGACTCATGAAGGAGGATTTTATGGTATAAGATGATGGTAGAATGTAGGATAGAAAGTTTGTAAAGTAGATACCAAGTTCATTGATGAAAACTGGTAAACAGGAAGCTATAAGGTGAATGCAGCAGCAGAAGTTTTTAAATAAGAAAAGAATAAACCTCAAAGAAGTTGAAGAAGTAATAAGAAATAGTGGAAAAGTAATACAGAGGAAGAACATTGACCCTAACTTCTAACAGACTCTTAAGAGACCCTGCTTGACAGAACTGATTCTGCCCTGAAGCCAACATTTTAGGGAAAACTTCATAGCCAGAAACCAAAGAAATTCTGTGATGCTTGGTGTGCAATTATTATTGCTAAGAAATCAAAGATACAACAAATTTTTCTGTAATTCTTTCCTGATCTACTTATGAGGGGAAATAATAAAGGATAATGCCAAGTAATTGGGTTGATAGCTATTTATTCTTCACAAAGGGCATTTAGAGCCAGAGATCCATAATGACTATGTTGCATAATAAGTTAATTACACATGCTATATTTTATTGAAACAATAATACAAGGACACCATACTTTAAGAAAAATGGATGACATATTATATGTACACTTGTGTGTATACATACACATATTTAGTTCAGTCATAGATGAGGCTATTTTCAAGCTAAAAAGAAAGCACCATATGATCTACTTAAATAGTAAACCTTCTCTGCTGAGAGTTCATATAGTGAAAGGAAAACTACAACACTTCAGACTGAAGTGAACTGAGATATAGCTCTGATGAGTTAGGGGATATTTACTTACCTAAAACTTAGTTTCAATGGTAGAATTATGAAATTTAATTTTCTTCAAAGTTTGCTAATTCTGATCATGTGTAACTTTATTTAAATGTAAGTATTTAGAAACATTTTTAATATGTGAAGCTATGCTGCAATACCAAATATACATTTATATAGATTTAAATAAGATGGATTTATGGATTTAGCACTTTTAATTTTTTAGTAGATTATTTTATTGTTGGTCATCTACTAATTTTAAGTCTACCCTCCATTGTATGCATAGTACACTCAAGAACATCAAAGTGATTCTAAGAAAATGTAGGACAAAGCTTTTTTTGTTTCATTCCCATTAGTAAATTTGTTTCTCTCTCTCCACACACAAACCTTTGCAATCCTTTCAAACTCTTAACATACTAATAACAGTGGAATGTTTTCTAGGCTCTTGATTCACTGATAGTGGATTTTTATTATGTCTATTTTTCACCAGAATGCTTCATTTTTATTACTTTCTAACACTTCAAGTCATAACAAGATGATAGACTTTTTATTTATCATTTCTATCTTAGATTATTAATTCTATGGAAAGCTGTTTATCACACCATTGCCCATGTAAACTAGCATTAAATTGTGATCATTCCAAGATGAACGTGTATTGTCACTGCACACATTCCTATTGGAGAAGAAATGAAATGGTTTGGCATTTGTTTTTTCTTGGATTAATAAATGCACAGAATCTTGCAACTTGGGAAAAGCCCAGATTACTTTTGCATTAATGCACTCAAAAGATTTCAAATAATACTTAGCATTAAGGTTTTAATTGAGAATTAACATCAGCATAATTGGAAATGAGGATCAGCATCCGATGTTGTAAGGGAAAGCTATTTGGTTGGGAAGGTCATTACACTGTGAGCATGAACACTGGAAAAGGAAAAATACAAATCATTTGTTTCCTGGGCAAGGACACACAGGACACACTTGAATTGGTGGTCAACTGTAATTTGCTTCTAGAGTCAGAAACTACACATTGGATTTATAGCCAAACACACATGTAGCAGTGACTTTGAAAGCAAAGGATAAAAGAATAAAGGAAAAGTTACCAGTTTTGAAAGACCTGTTCCATCACAAGGTTAAGGACTTTCCTTCAATCTAAAAAGAATACATACCTTGGGCTATTCTCAGCATACTTTCTTCCAAAATAATTATTCCTTGCAGAAGCCAAGCATAGTTGAGTCTAACCTGTTAACAATTTGTTATTTATTTATTTATTTTGCGAATTTCAAACAAATATAGTCCCAGCCTGAACAAAACAGATTTCCTTCCCATTTTGGTAAAAATAAACTTTCCCAAACTTATAGTTTTCCATTTGCTTCCAATGTCTTGAAATGTTCAATCACTTCTGCCAATTTCCCAGAACATAAGAAATTACCAACTCCCAAAATGACCTTGCCCTCCAGAAGCATCCTAAGGCACTCACACCTCTTCTACCTTCAGGGAATGGTTGTACTGGTCAGATTTATCCCCTTGGTGAAGTAGAAGAAGCTTACAGAAAGGAAAATTCTGTAGGAATTGTCATTTTGCAAAAAAAAGTTCTTTTCCCTTTTCATTGAAATTAAAGAGAGTCTGTACATGTCTTCTGTTTCCTATGTGTCCCCACTGCCAAGAGAGGACCTCGTCAGAGAGGAACCCTCTGCTTTGCCCCTCAGGCTACAGTCCCCAGCCTTCACCCCATTGTCTGTGCAATGTGCAGATCTGGAGGGCAAAGCAGTGGCCTCTGCATCACTTTCCATGCCCCCTGAGGCCAAAGGCCCTTTCCCTGGCTCTGAGGAAGGGCTGTTGTGGAAGCAGAGTTTGAAAAGGCCCAGCACAGTCATTGTCAAGATAACCAACACTACTACCGCTATGCCTACAAGTATGAAGACCACAGTTGAGGAGTAGTCAAAACCCTGAAGAGTGGGAAAAGATGTGGAATTCAACTTGGGGATCACACTTTCTGGTGGGGTGATGGTGACTTTTGACTCGGTTTGAAGGGACATTTGATAGGTAGATAGCGTGCTCTCTGTTCCCCACTGAAGAATGTCTGGAATAGGTGCTGCAGAACTGCCTTGTCCAGTTACACCAGGTGTCTCTCCTGGCTTCTGGTGGACTCGGGATGACCATGTCCTTTTTGAAACAGGACTGATCGCGGTGGCAGGCAGGCTCCTCGTGGGCACCTTGGTCCCCCCAGAGGTCGGCTGTCCTCCCCCTTTTGTCACACAAGAGCGTCCATCCTTGCCCAGCTGGAAGCCTGCAGCACACTCGCAGGCAAAAGCTCCTAAGTCGTCTAGGCAGTCAAGGAGCTCCGCGCATTTGCCAGCACGGAGGTACCTCCCGGGGCAGGGACAGAGCACTGCTGCAGAGGAGAGCCCATCCCAGCGCGCGCCGGTCTCTTCCACGACGCAGGTGGGAGATGGAGCGCTTCCCGGGGCAGGTCGCACTCACCTCGGTGCCGGGAGGACTGAAGTCCAGCGCCGAGCTGAACAGTTGGAAGGGAGCGCGGTAGCTCAAGTTAGAGGCGGCCCCGGGGCGCGGCGCGGGGCACAAGTCCTCATACTGGTATTTGCACAGGTAGCCGTTGGCGCGCAGATGGCACCGCATCTCCTTCCAGCCTGCGGGCTCGATCCCCTGGGTGGCCAGGAGTCCCGCGCACCTCCGCGAAGTACAGGAGAGCAGTGGCTCCTCCACCCACTGTAGCGTGTCTCTTTCGGACTCACTGGCGTCGGGGGACAGCCAGGAGAAACCCCGCAATGGCTCGTTCTCCAGGGTGCAGTGAGATCGCCCGCGCTCCAGAGCTACCCAAAACAGAAGGTCTTTGGAGCCTCCTCCAGGCCCGGGACCCGCCCGAAGGAGCGAAAGCACTGCACGCAGCTCGGTGCCCCCGTGCACGGTGCTGAGAGACCCGCCGCGCAGGTTGCAGGCCTCCTGCGCTGCCAGCCGCTTGATGGTAGCGTGGTGTAGGCTGTAGCAAGCCCCCGACGCCGAGCAGCCTGCGCGATCGGAGGTGGGGTGCTCGCCACCGCCAGGCCTGGGCCAGAACGCCTGACAGAGGAGGCACAGAGCAAGCGCCGGCCTCATCTTCGAGGCCCTGTGCACACAGCTGCTCCCAACTTAAGTCTTGTCTGGCCCCAGGGCGCCCAGCGGTCTCTGGAGCGCGGTCACCGCCCTCTGCAGTCGACTCCCCCCACCTTGTCTCTTCTCCCCTCCTCTGTTCTCCACCCCAGTTCCCCAACTGCCAAAAGTCCCCACCACAGTCTCCCTGGGCGTCCAACAGCTTCCCCTAGGCCGCGACAGGAAATGTGTCCAGAGCTCTGCCAGGCCCCGTGCAGCCCTGATTCATTCAGGGGTCAGGAACGCAGCTGGCGCCAGAGCACTGGGAACACAGGCGACCAGGAGGTCAAAGACTCTGCTTAGAGTAGAAAGAAAAGAAAGTTACTACTCGGATGAAGTGTATGCTTTCCCTGCTCAGGGCATTTCAGGTCTTGGATCCCAGAATACACTGTGAACACTGGCAGGAAGGACTGGAGAAAGGAACTTCCCTATCCTAAGTCCACACCCGCCCATTGTGTTTCTGTTGGGGACAGTGTAACTGGCGTCAGAATAATTTGTAGACGGTTCCATTCTCCCGGAGGTTTCCTGCGCCTGTGTGTGGTGGGGGGGTGGGAGGGAGGGGAGGCGGGGAGCGGCGAATCCTGTGAGAAATCCTTGCGTCTCCCTTCTACACCAGAGGCAGCACTGTTTAACCACCCATCTTTTCCTGGTACTCTGCTACCCTATTCTTTCCAAGGAAATCCTGGAATCCTAATTGCTAGTCAAAGAATTTAGTATCCTTTTGAGAATTTTGAATGGAAAACCCTGCATTTTCGGTCAGCACTTGCCTTAAAAGTTTATTTTTCACTTCCATTTCTCTTTGAAATGGCCCATATTGATTCATTCATGAAAGAAAGTGTATTTCTACATTTAAATGGAAAAATAATGGCCATAGATCTTAACCGTTCAGTTGTTAGGTTTCTTTACCACTATATTGGTTCATATCTACTTTAAGCTTATAGGTTATATATGAGTTCATGGCCTCAGTAATGTTGTCCTACTTGTGATTTTTATCATTGAACTTTTTAAATATCATTCTCTCCTATGAATAAGTGCCACTATCTATAACAATGTTATAGTCTCCTTTCAAGAACATTAGAAGTCAACATCCTTAAGAAATTTAAATGTTTATTGCATTATAATGGATATTGTGTGCTCTGAAACCACACTCCCTGTTGTTTGATAGATCATCCAGTCAACTTCTTCAGAGTCCATTGAGTGCTTGTTTTATAAACACCAGCTCAGTTGAAAGTGCGAGGGGGAGTTAAAGATGGTAAAGGAAAGTTTAAAATTAGCACTGTCTATGAAAGGACTTTTTTTTTAGCAACTTAGACAATTATATATATATATATAATTTACCTATTGTGGCTCTCAATTATCAATATGTTGTAATTAGAAATACATAGTTTCAACTAAGCTCTCTTAAAGATATCATATCTATAATCAGAATGAAAGTTGCCATTCATGAGTGATGCATGCATGTTGTATTGGATTGGCTGGCTCAGGTTCATGAGAGGAGAGAAGGAAGGTAGCAGGATAATATTTGTATGCTGTCTCTAATTTTTACCATTATTCTAACTTTTCTTTTTCCCCTCGAAATCGCATGTATCTTAAGCCAGAGTAAACATCATGAATCATCATCAGTACCTTATTCTTGCTTACTGTGGAGTTTTGAAACAGATTTTCTCTCCTCCCCTTTCTGTTTTCCAATTTAAAAGACATTCATTAGTCCTTCATTTCATATTTCTGAGACATTTAAACATGGCTTTGCATTCAAATTAAGCAACTTAGTGTCTTATAAGAAAAAAAACATGAAAATCCAGAAATCTAATTGAATGAATTTTGAAAATACATAATTGCTTAAGTCAGCTTTGCAATCTGGGAGTTGGTGACTGTGTCATGTAGCATGCTATATTCCAATAAAACCTTTTTCAAACTTGAGTAGCCAATGGAAATTCTTACATATTTTGAAAGTCACTTGGGATAAGATGAGATTTCTAGAGTAATAACGAAGCTAATAGTATATACATGATTTCACTCTCTGGCATTCTGTCTAGGGAGGTGGGACATTACAAAAGAGGAACAAGTATGATATATTTGATGCATTTTAAGAACTTTCATAAATGCCACAAGGTATCCCCACCCAGCATAACAATGTTAAAAACAGGAACGTGTTAACCACAATGATTACATATCATAGTCCTGGTTGTGCCTGGAATGATGTGAAAGAAGAGTTAATAAAAAAAATTAGCTTGAAAGAAGACATATGTCATTTTTAGTTAATTATCTTGTATTGATCTACATAGTATTAACATATTTTGAAATATGTAGTGCACTAAAAAAACAGAACTAGAGAAAGATTTTATTTTTTAAATAATAAGTTTATTAAGATCATACTAGGATACCATTTTACCATCACTGGAGTCCAAATACTTAAAACTCTGAAATGACAAGTGTGAATCTATAAGCTTTTTGATATGTTGAAAATGAGAACAATGTTGTAAAAATCTTTCCATTTTTTTCTATAATTGAATATTTTCATACCCTGTGTCTTCCCATATCCATGCCCAAGTGTATGTGTGTGTATATGTTGTATGTGTGTGCTTAATTAAGAGAAACTCTTGCACATCTGTAGCAGAAGCTCAGATGTGGAGCACTGCTCCACTAGTCTATATTTTCTGTAAGCAATAGATGTGTTCTTTGGCATTTATTCCAGGTCCCTACTAATGTAACTGGGACATAGTTATCACTCAAGAAACGACAGTTTGTTGAACGAGCACAGGGCTGATGTGTGCAGGCACACACACACACAGCACACACAAAACATGCTGTATGTCAGTAACTGAGCACATAGAATGTTCTAGCTTTTTACATTTACAATGTAAGTGGTGTTCTAGGTTCATTAGCTACTATGTCTCCAAATAAATTGATCTGAAGGACTGCTCTAGACCCTACTGTTAAGAAACTAATTATTATAACAAAGTGGGCAGCGTTTTGTTTAGGATCTTGAACAGTTCATCATGTCTCATCCCGCTGTAGCTGTAGTTTCATATTACAGTCTTTCTTAGAGGATTTATATGATAAGTGTGCTTGATAATCAAGGCATCCCTTAAGTCCAAAGTATGCTTTTTCTATTGAACCTGTAGAATTCCCACTTCACAGAGCTGGAAAAGGAAGGCAAAAAAAAAAACAATCATAGTTACTTAATTCAAATCCTATTAGTCTTATCTGGTATCACTTTGTAAGTACTAGGGATAATCAGCAGTTACCTTAGCATTTACCTTGTAGCAGCAGTGGAACCTGGCAATTAGTATTACATAGACTTAATCGCTTGCTCATTTTAAGGCCTATGTGTCTGACAAATTCACACACCCAGCACAATACTTTCTATATTGACTCGCCTATTCCAGATGTGTGATTTATTCTTACTATTATAAGGCAATTAAAATCCGGTACAGTCAGAGAATTTTTGTTCAAACTTCAGCCTTAACATTGAGAATATTTGTTTTCAAACAGCAGTGATTTGGGCAAATGTGCTTAATAAAATTGGATATTGTATATCTTTGTTGATATACCACTTCCGTTTTTTGTATGGAAGTCACATAATATGATTTATTGCAGTGAGGAGAAAGGGAAAAAACTGCTTTCTAAATACACTAGTCATAGTACTATCTTTTCATAGATAGTACATGTGTATGAAAAACCAAAGACTCTTATTATTACAGTTTTGCTATGATTTTACTATGAGTTTGACTTCAGAGCTTATTGGCAGATTCAAATACTTTGAACCAATTTTCTTTCAATGCCTCATATTTGTGTAGGAATTAACATTTTTTAATGCATTTGTGAATTTGCCCTGGTTTAATAGTAGCCCTTCCTTGAATTCTGTCTACATGATTGAACAGGTATTCGTGGAAATTTGGAGAATCCCCTTGAGCATTTTTCCTTTTCTTATTCTTCTATTTGACAGGCTCACCCTGAGTCACAGAAGATGAAGGTACAGAAGGAGGGAGTTTTGAAAAACATTGTTTTTCATAACCTAATGCCTTGAGTGACTGCAGCCTTCTTGGATTGTATCTAAATGTGCATTCAGGATGAGGAGGAAGAATTCTGGGGCAGGGTGTAGTGGTCTCTTATGTGTATTGGGTGTTTTCCCATAAACACTCTCAGCCTGGGAAAGGGCAGCATAAATCCTGGCACATTCCTTCCCAGAGCATCTTTGAGAACTAGAAGGATGGTGGAGATAGCAGAACTTAGCACAGAGAAGCCTCACCAGTTGAGCAAAAAACATTATTTCTCTCTCTGCAATTGAGAGAATTCAGGAAGGACTTTACTGGATCCTCTTCCCTAAGGGACAGACACAATGTGACTTTGCTACACCTCAACAAAAGCATAGGAATCTCAACTCAGTAGTGAGAGAGAAATTCCCTTTGTTCTTCTCTTACTCTCCTTTCATGTTGCAGATAAACTCTGCCTTTTGAGATTATGAAGATGAAGGGTAAGAACTCAATTTGCTGGCCTTCTAGAATAAGTAACCTCTAACTATGCTTTTTTTTTTCAGCCTCAAAAGCACTCTCCTTCAGTCTTCCCTCTCCAAATCTTCTTCACCCAAGAACAATAGGAATATGTTAGTCTATCTGAATAAAACCTCAAGATAGTAATATCATTGGAATGAATTTATTATCCAACCCCCATCTTTTCCTCTCCAGCTCCTTACTGAAACACTTGGCATTAGAGAGGCCAATTTCATCCAAAGACTCTGTCGGCGGGGATGCTTCTAGTATGCCAAAGTGACCCAATGATCAGTTTAGAATTTTTAAATTCTGGTTAAAAAAAACCCATATAACATAACATTCACTATCTCAACCATTTCAAGTGTACAGCTGAGTAGTGTTAAATATATCCATGTGCTGTATATTATTGGTTGTGAAGTTGCTATGGTAAATAAACAGTATGTTGATTCCTAAAAATGGAATTATATATGATTGAGCACTTTCCAATTTGGATCTGAGTGCAACTGTGAATTAACTACAAGATAGAGCATAAAACTGTGGCACATTGTGTAG